TTAAAGGTGACCTCAGTGCGGAGCTGAACGGGTGCAGCAGAGGCAGCCAGTGACAGGAAGTGGGGACCTGATTTCCTTGACACAAAGGTGTATTGAGTGATGTCTGTGTGTTTGGATTCTGTGCACACACTGACTGCTGGTGAGGCACTTTGCTAACATCTAGCTGTGGCTGCTGATCTGGGTCCTTCACACCTGAATAAGAGGAAGTGGATGGCTCTCTCAGCTGGCCTCATACAAAGCCTCTTGGTTTGCTGTGCTTCATCCTTGGATTCAACTGCAGATGCTGCAAAACAAACAAAAACACCAAATTATTGTCTTGTTTTTATCACATTTTGCAATAAAAATAACTGAAATGGTTTTTTCACTTGTGCTAGATGTGTGAGATGTCTTTTCCTCTTTTTGCCCTAAATACAAACACATTCGAATTTTAAAAAGTGATTCAAACGCTTTGCTGTGAATGTTTCATCATTTAGAGCAGCGATGGGCCCGTGTATGAACTGCATATTGGCCCTTTGGACGTATGTAGTTGTCTTTGGTAGACCACGCTGGATTTTCTTTGGCATGACGACATCTTTCTGTTTCCGCCTGATCAGAATATTTCCTATGCTCATCCTTTGAAAGTGACTTCCACTGTGGACAGAAGAACACAAAAAAACACTCAGCACATAGAAATACACAGGTACACTGCTACTTCACATAGCTACAGCATGCATGCACAAACACAGGCATGAAATATTAGATGCATAAATATATGGAGAGTTACAAACTTACTCTCTCTCCCACGACTGCATTTAGAGCTGCTCTCTCAGTGACGTTTAGTTCAGCTTTGACCTTTGGCCTTTGCTCCTTAGGATAAAGCATGAAGACGTTTGGTGGCTTCTTGATGTATGGCCTGTCTTCATCTTGTTGGGACACAGAGTAAGAGCAAGCAGATTCTGCGTGAATCATTGTAGTCAGTTTCCAGAAAAAACAGCAGAGAAACTTACTTTGGAGTGGAGCTGTCGGGTGGAGGAGATACAAAATCACGCACCTTCACACCGTGCTTACAGATATACAGAGAGACAGATACACAGCAAATTCAAAAGTGTTAAATTTTTGGTGTTAATAGTCTTCTTGCAAACGTAGAGTTAATTTTACTCTAAGCAGAGTCACATTCTTTTAATGTAACTCTGAGGTGTAAAATGATAGTAGTTAAAATC